ACTTTTGCAGTTGCTTTGCACCAGCTTCTTTCTTCTTTTCTCACTTTCTCCCTTTGTTTCTGTCTTATTCAACTGCTACAAAGTTCAAAGTGCAAAAGTAGTTACACTGAATTAACTCAGCAGTAAGAAAATGTGAGATGGGGGCAGAATTTTACCCTTCCCAGTAAGCTCAGGCAAAGCAAACTACGGAAGCCCTTCCTAACATTTGTGTTCTTCCACAATAATAACTGTTAGCACTTTGACCACACTCTAATGTTGCTTGGCAAGAGGTGTCCTAATCTTAGTGATTTCTACAGATCGGAACAGTTAATATCTGTTCTAATTCCCAAGAAGGAGGATAAAAGGGATTGCATTAAGCACTGAACCACTGCTTTAACCTCCTATTCAAGTAAAGTGAAGCTCTAATTTTTACAAAAAATATTTCATAGAATCATAGAATTGGAAGAGACCACATGGGCCATCCAACCCAACCCTCTGCCATGGAGCAAAAGCACAATTAAAGCACCCCTGACAGGTGGCCATCCAGTCTCTGTTTAAAATCTTCCAAGGAAGGAGCTTCCGCTACATTCCAAAGAGGAGAGTTCCACTGTTGAATCCTTCTTACAGTCAGGAAGTTCTCCCTCATTTTCAGGTGGAATCTCCTTTCCTGTAATTTGCTCAGAGTCCTAGTCTCCAGGGCAGCAGAAGACAAGCCTGCTCATTCTTCCTTATGGCATTCTTACTAGATAGATAGATACGTTTTATTGATTGGCCTATTGGCTGTATCAAAACATTTAACACATAACACAATTAACACATAGTCATACATAGTCATACATACAACATACAACCCTCGGTATAAAAGGAGTTAAAATAAACAAGCTGTCAACAGGATCTCGTTCAGATCAAATGTCTGCATCACCTCCACAGTTTACCCCAATTGATTCTAAATGTGCAATTCTCAGCTGTGTTGCTTTGAATAGAAAAAGGGCTGTTTTGTGTGTTATTTTAGGGTTCTGTCCGGCCAACAAAAATGAGGTTTTAATATATGAGTCCCAGTGTGTTTTTTGAATAATGTATGGTCCAAGGCAATGGTCTCTCTCTTTCTTATACAGCTCACAGTTGAACAATACATGTGTGATATCCTCCACCTCTGGTGCTCCACAAATACAAAATCGTTCGTTGTATGGGACTTGATTAAACCTTCCGTGCTTGTCCATTGTATCCAGCTGTTCAAAACGAGCTCTGGTAAATACCCTCCTAAGGTGTTTAGGCATTTCTGTTTTTAGATATCGAGCTGTTTGGAAGGTATGTTTAAAGCGGCCTAACCATTTCAGTGAGCCAGCTTTACTGAGGGTAGCGATGTCTTTTTGGCCTTCTATATCCAATACTCGTTGAGCAACTATTTTTGGGTCTAACTCTTCTAAGAGATTCGGATACCGAGTCGGAAGTCCACAGCTCCTAATGTATTTTGTCAGGAGAACTAACCAAGAGGTCTGATGTTGATTTTCTATCTGCTCTAACAGGCACAGTTTGGGGAGTCTATCATTTTCCATGGCCATCAGTTTTGCCCAGTAGTTGTAGGCCCTGATTTTGGATAAGCCATCCACGGTGTGTATTCCCAGTTCCGCTCTTACTGCGGCAGCTGGGGTCGTCCTGTCCACTCCTAGGAAACTTCGCAGGTGCTGTGATTGTGATTGCTCTAATAATGGTACCTGGTTTAGACCCCAAACTTCAGCTCCGTACAAGAGCATGGGAGTAACCTTTGCTTTATATACTTTGAGAAGTGGGTCTAAGGATCCTGGTTGGTTGTGATTTGTCAGTTTAAGTAGTTGATTTGCACATACTCTTGCCCTAACTGCACTTTTTTGATGGTGTGGTAGCCAAGAGCCGGTCTCAGAAAAAACAATTCCCAGATATGTGAAAGTGCAAACTTGCTCTATTGGTTCATCATCCAGGAACCATCTGTGTCTGTTACGTCGTTTGCCAAATACCATTGTTTTTGACTTTGATTTATTAATAGTTAGAGCGTTGTTACTACATTCTTACTACATACAAACTGAAAAATGCCAGATATTCAAGCTGGGTTTAGGTGAATGTTCAGTTTTCAGATAACATCAAAGTCATTCCTGTGAACATGAACCCACACCTATCCCAGCACTATGCAGTCATGTGCCATTATTCTGTAATTCTACATTGCCCTTCAATGAAGGTAGTATGCTTAAGAAACCCCTATGAAATTAATGGGGTTGCCATAAATTGGCAAGCAACTCAAAAACAAACACACACATACATGCATTTGTTGTGGACTGTAGTTCATGAAAACTTGTGCTAGAAATGTATTTTAGTATCATAGGATTATAGAGTTGGAAGAGTCCTCGTGGGCCATCCAGTCCAACTCCCTGCCAAGAAGCATTCAAAGCAACCCCGACAGATGGCCATCCAGCCTCTGTTTAAAAGCCTCCACCACTCCAGGGCAGAGAGTTCCACTGCTGAATAGCTGAATAGCTCTCACAGTTAGGAAGTTCTTCCTCGTGTTAAGGTGGAATCTCCTGAATGTTTTATTACAGGTCTTTTCACATTTCTCAAGTATAACACTGTGATTTCACTTTTACTGCTATGCTTTTCTTCTATGGAATCCTAGGCTTTGCAGTTTGGTGAGGTGCAGCTGCTGAGCTTGAGAACTTTAAATGCCACTTCCTAAACTGGAAATGTGAGAATCAACCTGGTGTAGTGGTTTAATCATTGGACCAAGGTTTGCTTCCCTGTTCGGGTTTGAAAACCGACTGGGGATCTTGGACAAGTCAAACTCTCTCAACCTCAAAAGAAGGCCAAGACAAATCTCCTTTGAACAAATGCAAGACATTCCCATGATAGATTTTCCTTTGAAGTAGCAAATGACTTGGAGGCACACAATAAGAATGAACAACAAATCCCAGGATTCCACAGGATAGAAGTTTTTCCTAATCTTGTCAGTCGAATCTCTTTCCCTGCCATTTGAACCCATTGCTCCTTGCGCCCTGGTCTCTAGAGCAGCAGAAAATCAGTTTTTCTCCTCTTTCCCAACGGGACACTCTTTTAAATCTTGAAATATGGTTCTCATGTTCCCTCTCAACTATCCTTTTCCCAGCTAAACATTCTCCAGGAGGGAGGAAAAAGAGAAGGAAGGAAGAGAAGGGTGGAAGAGAGTGGAGGGAGGGAGGAAAAAGAGATGGAAGGAAAGGCAAAGGGGAAGGAAGGAAAAAAGGATGGAGATGGAAGGAGGAATAAAAGAGGGAAGAAAGCAAGGACAAAAGGGTGGAAGGGAAGGAAGCATGGAAGGAGAAAGAAAGAGATATGGAAAGGAGGGAAAGAAGGAGGAAGAAAAAGAGGAGGAAGAATAGGATGGTGCGAGAGAGGAGGGCCTGAGGAAAGAGCCCAAGGGACCGCATCCGGCCCTCAGGCCTGGGTTTGCCTATACCTGGTTTAATGCTATGGAATGACGGGATACTACATACAAACTACAAACCCCAGGATTCCATTGCATTGAGCCATGGCACTTAAAGCGATGTGAAGGTGCACTCAATCTAAAGCAGGCATAGGCAAACTTGGGCCCTCCCTCCAGGTGTTTTGGACTTCAACTCCTACTGGCTGTTAGGAATTGTGGAAGTTGAAGTCCAAAACACCTGGAGGGAGGGCCCAAGTTTGCCCATGCCTGGACTAAGAGAAGGGGCTGTGATTGCACTCAGCTCAAGCTGGGTTCTTGCAAGTTTTCCGGGCTGTATGGCCATGACCCAGAAGCATTCTCTTCTGACCCACAACTATGGTAGGCATCCTCAGAGGTTGTGAGGTCTGTTGGAAACTAGGAAAATGGGGGTTATATATCTGTGGAATGTCCAGGAAGGGAGAAAGAACTCTTGTCTGGGTTGTTGTAGGTTTTTCTGGCTCAGGGCGGTTTACAAATGGCACAATTCAATGCCTACAAAACAAAGAACAATTAAAACATTTAGCATAAATAACATTTGATAAAATATAATAAAACTGATAAAAATATAACTCCACAGCATCTCATTACTAAAATCATTACTCAATCACATTGTCCAGTCGTTCCGAAGATCAGTTTGTCTGTTACATTGCATTTGGGAAAGCTTGCTCAAAAATCCAGGTTTCAACTTTTTTTAAAAAAATGTTAGGAGGGTGGGGGCCGATCTGATATCCCTAGGGAGGGCATTCCATAACCGAGGGGACACCGCTGAGAAGGCCCTGTCCCTCGTTCCTGCCAACTGAGTCTGTGAAGAAGGCGGGACTGAAAGCAGGGCCTCCCTAGAAGATCTTAGGGTCCTGGGCAGGCATGTAGCCGGGGGGGGGGGGCTTGGGGGCTTCAGCCCCCCCCCCCCAAATTCTCATGGTGGTTCACGAAAAGGCCTTACTGGTGCATTATTTAAACTGTTATGTTTATTCATATCATGATCTGATCACCATACTCAATATATCCCATATGCATGGGGGTATTGGGGTAATGATACAAAAGGTTTGCTAGGGTAGACCCTCTTTCACTCAGACTCAGCCCCCCAAACCAAACTCAGCCCCCGAAACCCCCGAAAAAAACTCAGCCCCCCCCCAATCGAAATCCTGGCTACGGGCCTGGTCCTGGGGTTTATATATCTCTGGAATTTCTAGGGTGGGAGATAGAATTCTTGCCTGGGTTGTTGTAGGTTTTTCAGGCTATATGGTCATGTTCTAGAAGCATTCTCTCCTGACGTTTCACCTGCATCTATGGCAGGCATCCTCAGATATTGTGAGGTCTGTTGCTCCGTTGGAGCTAGGGGTGAATGTTGCACTTGCCCACCTTGATTAGCATTGAATGGCCTAGCAGTGTGGCCTCTTACTACCTGGGGTTTCAGGGGTGTGCATGAACTACAGTCGCACGCCCTTGTAGGAGCCTTTCCAGGCTGGCCAAGAGCTGACCTGCGGCTCAGCCAAGACTCCCTCCAGCCGGCGCCGCCCCGTTCCTGGTTTGCAGGCGGAGCTGAGCTGGGCTTCGGGCTGAAGGCGGCGGATGCAGAAGCAGAAGCAACAGCAGCAACAACAGCCCGGCTCCGCCTCCGGGGAGGCTCCCGCAGCCCTTTTTACTCTGGCCGGGCCCCGCTTCCGCCTGCCGGCCGCTGCACCAAGCCATGAAGGAAAAGAAGAAGGAGGAGGAGGAGGAGGAGGAAGGCGGCCCCGGCGCCAAGGAAAGGCAGCCCTTGCTCCGGCCGAAGCCGCCGGCCCCCTTCTCTCGCCCCGCCGGGAACGGTGAGCCCCCGGGGAGCCGGGAAAGTAGGGCGCCTGGAGCCCCCGGGGCTGGGCTCGCTCCCTCCCCCCCCCCCTTTGCCCTAAAGGACAAGTTCATTCCACTGCGTTCATTCCAGAGTGTAGACCAGTGTTTCTCAACCTTCCTAATGCCGCCGCCCCTTAATCCAGTGCCTCATGTTGTGGTGGCCCCCAACCATAACATTATTTTTGTTGCTACTTCATAGCTGTAATTATGCGCCTGTTATGAATCGTCATATAAATATCTAATAGGCAGGATGTATTTTCATTCATTGGACCAAAGTTGAGGGGGGGGGATTAATTTTGCCCTTATGGAATTGTAGTTGCTGGGATTTATAGTTCACCTACCATCAAAGAGCATTTTGAACTCCACCAAGGATGGAATTGAACCAAACTTGGCACACAGAACTCCCATGTCCAACAGAAAATACTGGAAGGGTTTGGTGAGCATTGACCTTGATTTTTGGAGTTGTAGTTCACCTACATCCAGAGAGCACTGTGGACTCAAACAATGATTGATCTGAACCAAACTTGGCACGAATACGCAATATGCCCGAATGTGAACACCGGTGGAGTCTGGGGAAAATAGACCTTGACATTTGCTAGTTGTAGTTGCTGGGATTTATAGTTAACCTACAATCAAAGTGTGTTCTGAACTCCAGCAATGATGGAATTGAACCAAACTTTGCACACAGAATTCCCATGATCAAAAGAAAATACTGGAAGGGTTTGGTGTGTATTGACCTTGATTTTTCAAGTTGTAGTTCACCTACATCCAAAGAGCATTGTGGACTCAAACAATGATAGATCTGGACCAAACTTGGCACGAATACTCAATATGCCCAAATGTGAACACTGGTGGAGTTTGGGGAAATAGACCTTGACACTTGGGAGTTGTAGTTGGTGGGATTTATAGTTCACCTACAATCAAAGAAAATTCTGAACCCCACCAACGATAGCATTGGGCCAAACTTCCCACACAGAACCCTCATGCCTTGAAGGGACACTCTGACATGAGCCTCCCTCTAGCCTCGCATGCTCTCCCTCACCCCGCACATGTGCATCATGCGCTGAGCACGCCTGCTCTCCCCTCTCCACGTGGAGTCTCAGAAAACCCTCTCCTTGGCTGAGAGGCCGGCCAATTACAGCCAAGGAGGGTTTTTGGTGGGAGGATTCAGCCTTCTCTGCCAAAGAGGTTCCTAAGACCATCAGAAATACTTTTTTTTCTGATGGTCTTTGGCATCCCCCCTGAAACCTCCTTGTCAGCCCCCCCCCCCCCGGGGTCCCAGCCGCCAGGTTGAGACATGTTGATGTAGATGCTGTCCATTCGAGACCCTGCCATTGTACTTTTCCTGCTGGAGAAAAGATTGCGAGGCAGCCAAGGGAGCAATGTGCAGATCTATTCAGAAGCAGGTCTCATTGGGCTCTGTGGGAAACAGGGACAGGAGTTCAGGGGTGTGCATGAACTGAATTTGTACACCATGCACCTCCCACTACGCCCTGTTATTGGTGGAGTCTTTGCCTTGCAAATAGGTGGAGGGGTCACCTCTTCTTGCTGAGGGTCAAGGGCTACTATATGAAAGGGGGCTCTCAGCAAGGTGAGTGTGACTTGCTCAGGGTCACTCAGTGGGCGTTGTAGCCAAGTGGGGATTTGAACCCTGCTCTTCAGAGATGTCTTCCAATACTCAAACAACTAGGCCATGCTGGCTCCCATAGAGTGCATTTATGCCACTGAAATATTGCTCCCTTTCTAATAGAGGTCAGTAAGGTTTTAGATCAGGCATGAGCAAATGTTTTGGACTTCAATTCCCACAATTCCTAATAGCCTCAGGCACTTTCCTTTTCCCCCTCAGCTGCTTAAGTTGGCCCATGTCTGTTTTAGATGATCATACTGCACTGTTAAAGAGTTAGTGGTTGTTTCCTGTTGAATCTTGGGATTTGCAGTTTATGGAGGGGCCTTTAAAATTCTTTGCCAGAGAGGACCTGGGCCTCACTGGATAATCTGCAAGAGGCAACCACAGGATTTAAAGTGTCATGCCAACTCTTTAAAGCGGAGGGCCAGTTCACGGTCCCTCAGACTGTTGGGGGGCGGGGGGGCGGGCAAGCTATAGTTTGAAAAAAACATGAATTCCTATGCACATTGCACATGTCTTATTTGTAATGCAAAAAACAAAACAAAAAACAAAAACAAAAAAACAAACCCCAACAACAAAAGAACAATACCATATTTAAAATGAAGAACAATGTTAACTAACATAAACATATCAGCATTTTAATGGGAAGAGTGGGCCTGCTTTTGGCTGATGAGATAGTCATATTAATTAGGATTGTTGTTATTGTGTGCCTTCAAGTCATTTCAGACTGAGGGCAACCCTAAGTCTAAAGTTTAGGCCAGGGGGGCAGGTAAATTACCATCGAGCCCATAGATCTTAATTTGAGGACCCCTGTTTTAAATTGCAGTGTGATAGGGCCGTACAGGTTGGGGGACTTTGAGACGTGTACTCCAAAAGTAAGTTTCAAAGCTCTGTTAGGAAACTTCCCTTGGTGACTTTCCCCTTGGTGACTTTCAGAATTCAGATTCCAGTGATTGGGGAAGTCATAAAAGTTTAGCATCACTCAGGGGAGCCTTAAGTGATAAAATGAAAGACTGGACATATAAAGTCCATTGTGGTGGACTTTATGTGTCACACTTAGAGTCAACAGTTGATTGTCTATCCCCACTACCAAATCAAAGGCCAGTTTACCTATTATCTCCTCAATCACTTTGTTAATTGTTTTTCTTAATTACTTTATGTTTGAATATTGTACTTTAAACATGACAATGATAGCAATAGTACACTGCCATTCAGTTCCCTTTTTGATAGGTTCCATCATTTCAAGGTAGCACAAAAGAATATTCTGTGTGCTGGTTCAATCATTTCCCAGTGGGATAAGGTTATCAATCACAGGCTTGTTTAGGGAACAGAGCCAGTTTGTATGGTTCTGTCCTCAAAAAGGAACCACTGGGGAGTTCAGGAGGGAACTGGTCAGGGAATTAAAGAGAATGATGGTGAGCTGTCCTCCACTTGGAAGCTGCTCCCTGAGGTGGTTGACACACCTTGTATTAATTGCAGGACCACTCCTGCTTATAGTTAGGCTACGTAGGCCTAGGCCCTACTTAGACAGGCTGGCATCACGCTAAAGTAGTGGCACCAATGGGTGGGAGGATTCCACAGCAGCAATGAAAGGCTGAGCATGCTTTGTGGCCACAGAATGCAATAATAATCATAATGAACTTTATTTGTATCCTGCCCTATCTCCCAATGGGGACTCAAGGTGGTAAGCAACATACAAACAGTAGCAAACATTCAGTGCCGTAAGGTGCAACCAACAACTTATAAGGTAAAGGTAAAAGTTTCCCCTTCACATTAAGTCTCGTAGTGTTCAACTCTGGGGTGGTGGTGGTGGTGGTACTTATCTCGGTTTCTAAGCCAAAGAGCCAGCATTGTCCATAGATGCCTCCAAGGTCATGTGGCTGGCTTGACTACACGGAGTGCTGTTACCTTCCCACTGAAGCAGTACCTATTGATGTACTCACATTTGCATGTTTTTGAACTTCTAGGTTGGCAGGAGCTGGGCCTAACAGCGGGAGCTCACCCTGCTCCCTGGATTCGAACTGCCGACCTTATGGTCAGCAAGTTCAGCAGCTGAGTGGTTTAACTCACTGCACCACCGGGGGCTCCTAACAAATAATAAGACTATCATAAATTAAATAATAACACATTGCACATTGATATCAAGACAGTAATAAAACATTATATCGAATTAGACAGCACACAGCTAAAGATTACATTTTAACTGAGCTATTAAAATAGATTACGAAAAATTAAGATTAATAAAACACTAAAAACATTAAAATTGAAAAAAGATTAGAACCAGAGTAGCAGTCATTGCCATATTCTAATCCATTTTGTTTACGCCAAATATTTCATATATTCTCCTCTCAACGTTTGTGAGCGTACAAAAGTTTTTAATCGTTTTTAAAAAGAGAGCAAGGAGGGAGCTGTTTTAATCTCCTTAGGGAAGGAGTTCCAGAGGTGGGGGCGATAATGGAGAAGGCCCTTTCTTTCGTTCTCACCAGCTGTACCTGGAATGGGGGTGGGACTGAGAGCAGGTCCTCATCCATTGATTACAGCGCCCGGGCAGGCTTGTATGTAGAGAGGCAGTAAGCCAAGTAGTCTGTTTCCAAACCATTTTGGGGCTTTAAAGGTAATAACCAGCACTTCGTATTTCACCCGGAAACTGACTGGTAGCCAGTGGAGTTGCCATAACGTGGGAGTGGTTCTCTCTCTATACGGAGCCCCAGTTAGTAACCTGGCCGCTGATCTTTGGACCAGCTGAAGTTTCAAAGGCAGCCCCACATAGAGCACCCTCTTAATATTTCGCAAAAAGGTTAAAACCTGGCTATATGAGCAGGCCTTCCCAAACGCAGTGTAGCTTTGAAACTCTGATCTCTGAATGGCTGGACAATGTGACTGGACAATAAGTGATTAATGAAATGCAGAGGACTTATGGTTTTTTATTATGTTTATTGATGTTAATTGTAATGATTTTTTTAATCTATGTTAAATGTTTTTAATGTTTAAACTATTTTTGTACTGTTGTGGGCATCAAATTGTGCCATTTTGTAAACCGTCATGAGTCGCCCTCGGGCTGAGAATGGCAGTATAGAAGCGTAGTAAATAAATAATCAATAAAATAATCTAGACAGGATATAACTTAAAGCATGGAGTACTGTGGGCAGATCTGACGTCTCAAGGTACAAGCGCAGCTGGTGCACAAGCTTTAATTGTGCAGACACTCTTTGTCACCGTCGACACCTGGACCTCTAGGTCAGCGATGAATCCAGGAACATCCCCATCTGCCTACCTATGTCTTCAGGGGGAGTGTTATCCCATTCTATACAGGTTGCTAGAATGTAGGCTGCTAGAAGTGGTCTAGCC